GCGAAGGCTCAGGACATATAATACAGTCTCAAGGCGTTCGCCAAGACAACTCAGGACCATTAAGGTTCCTAGGCGTTGTCGCATCTCGTAAATCGAGATCACTGATTATAAAGTTGCGTGATTTCAACTGTTGGTGAATAAATAATAAACAATTATTTTGTGGATCTGCAATACTCTGGTGGAAAAAACATCTCATAATTTCCTAGAAAATTTTAAGAAATTTTTATAATTTTATTTTATGAAAAATTCTGAGAAAAATTTCTTATTTATTCATATTTTAAACATTTTTAGAAATTATTAAATAAAAAAGAAAATTATTAGCCGGGATTTTTAAGATTACGGAATATGATGTAATAATGTTCGATAGCTGTATAGCTGCAAGCGTTATAATAATAATTATTATGAAAATTATTTTTGCCAATAATATGTTATAATTACAATTTATATTTCATAAGCGGTTTTTATATTTATTATGTATGAAATGTAATAAATTCAATATTTGTAATTATTATATATTTTTATAGAATTTTAAATGTATATGTATGCGAGTATATGTTGTAATAAGGTACACACGGAGCTAGGAATGCCTTCTCACATGAAGTTACACACGTCTCGTCGGACATGTCAGGCATACCGGACCATGCGTGCTTCACCTCTCAATATTCGTGCATTATAACTGTAGATATTCGAAAAACGGATACGTCAAACTATGAATTGTCAATTACATTTTCCCGCTCTGAGACGGTGTTGCCGTTTTTCGAATATCTACAGTTATAATGCACGAATATTGAGAGGTAAAGCACGCATGTCCGGTATGTCTGACATGTCCGACGAGCACATGTAACTTCATGTGAGAAGGCATTCCTGTCCCCGTGTGTACATTTTTCTGTATTCTATTTAACGGAATATTTCTAAAAAAATTTACGATTTATCAGCTTCCATATTTTGCCCTGCCTTTGAGTACATTTCATTTAACGGTACAAATTAACGTAAGTATATATTTCTATTCTATCTTTTTCATTGGATGTCAAACACAGAATAAAACATGTATTAACATGTATGTTAACGTGACATTCTATGTTCGATATCTACTAGAAAATAAATATAGAATGACACGTTTTTACATTGCTAAATAAAATGCATTCAAAGATAAGGTAGAAAATAAAAGTTGATAAATCGTATATTTTTCAACTTGTAAAAATATTTGATATTTCTAAAGGCCTGTGTAAGACGTTCTGCTGGATCCGATATTTGAGATGCGACAGGACAGAATACCTACTATTCGGGCTTCTGATAGGCGCTTCAAAGTGCATATACCGAGGCCGGAGGAGTGGGAAAGGAAGGTGGAAACTTAGGGGCTCGAGTGCGTGGAGGAAATGTCTGGTATACGGACGGCTCCAAGACGGACACGGGCTCCGGGGCCGGCTTCTTTGGCAGTCGAGAGGGATGGAAGGAGAGTATTTCTCTCGACAGTTATGCCACGGTATTCCAAGCGGAGATTGTGGCTATCCTAAGCTGTGCTCAGACCGTGCGAAGTAGAGTAGAGGCGGGGGGGGGGCACATCAGGATTTGTACGGACAGCCAGGCAGCCATCAAGGCGCTGGGGGCTCCGACAATAACGTCGCGGTTGGTTCGGGAGTGCAGGTGCGTTCTGAACGAACTGGCGAGAGAGAGAGAAGTCACCGTTACCTGGGTGCCGGGCAGTGATGCGATATTTCCCACAGCGGTCCCGGCTCCGCTGCCTCACACAACCTTACAGAAGCGCTACGTCACGTATCCGTGTGAGCTCGGCCGTTCAACCAATGGAAGAGAGCGAACGCTCCCTTCCACCGAGCCGACACAACAGACGATAAATGCATGCTACTTGCATGTTAAAAGCAAGCGTTACTGATTCAGAAAAGAAATTCTGAGGCGAGTCACACTGGTCTCAAACGACATGAGCTGTCTCAAAACCCCCTACAGCCTTCAATTTTTGACCGATTTCAATCTTTTTTTTTAAATAATCTGTATAAAATTTCCAAGAGATCTGTGGGAGCCGATTTTTAAAAAACTTAGTTAACAATTCTAATGTTTAAACAAATTAGGAATTTTTGGATTTTTTACTTATATCTCCCTAAAAATTATACTTTTGTGTTATATATTGCATGAAATTTATGTAAAAAATTGTAAAAATGAAAAAAAAGTGTTGATATAATAATCCAATTGTTATAAACAAATTAGATTAAACCATTCAGGTCCATGAGCAAACCATTAGCGTTAGCAAGAAA